CACAAAGTTGATTTAGGAATTGCGCCATGCACTCGATTTCATCTCAAAAAGTAGTTGCTCGCATGTGATGTGTATATAATCCCGCTTATGCGGGCTAACCGCTACACACAAAGAAGGGCCTCAAAACTTACCCCAGAATGCGCCACGTACTCAATCTCATCCACTACATTGTGAGATTAGATGAATGTTATTTTCCGAATTCTTAGATCTTCATTTCGTTTTCAAGCGCTTACTGGCTTTACGTGTTCCCTCTGCTCTCAAATATCCCATCCTCTGTATATCAAGTGGAATCTTTGAACAGTTCTCAGCAGGCATAGTGGGCCTATTATGTGACATTTTCCATTTTCAGAGGACATGTTTTGCAGAAAGCTGTGAAGATAGCGAACAATTTCCTTCACTGTCGTAGACTACGGTCACTTGTCTGTAAGGATTATATGGAAACCTTGGTCGCAGGTGAGCGTTCTTCCGTGGTGTGACCCCAAACATCACCCCTTGTCATGCCTTTGCCCCCTATTACGTGACAAGTCCCATTTTTAGAGGAATGTTTTGTAGAAAGCTGTAAAGGAAGCGAAGAATTTCCTTCACTGTCGTAGACTATGGTCACTTGTCTGTAGGAATTATGTGGAAAACTCGGTCGCAAGTGAGCGTTCCTTCCGTGGTGTGGCCCCAAACATGCCTCCTCGTCATGCCCTTGTGGAAAGTTCAGATTTTTTGCATTTCCAGATGAACTCGCAGACCTGAAATGTGCCCCGTTAGCTTCCCCGTGAAAAATGCTATCGAATGATATGCATTACTTCCCCAGTTGAAACTTTGGTTTTTCACCGTTTTCAGCCTTCCCCTATTGCCGGATATCCCACGATTACTGCCCCAAAATCTCAAAGTTTCATTTTTCGTCGAAACTTTGTCTATTGGGGTAATTCGATGCCCTGATTACGAATATGACATTCATTTTTGATGCTGGTGTCATTTGGCGCCATTTGGCGCCGTTTGGCGCCAATTTGGCGCCACGGCTGTTTTCACCAAATCTGCTGAAACGTGTGTATAGGGGTTATTTGGGGTCCTGATCACGAATATAACATCAGTCTTGACGCCGGCGCCATGTGGTGTCACAAACAACACTTCACAGTCAGAGCGTACTCTTAGGCACCTTTCTCAGAGCGCCGACTGTCAGACCGTGGAAAAGGTCATCGAATCGGAGACTTTCCCACGACAGGAAGGAGCCAGAAGCATGTTTCACGTTTTCGACAACGGAGAATAACGATGGCTCTTGCTACTCTATAGCGAAACAATCGTCAATGAGAGCTACTGGGCTTACCTCTTTGAACCCCAAATGACGAAGTTTCAGCAGATTTGGTGAAAACAGCCGTGGCGCCAAATTGGCGCCAAACGGCGCCAAATGGCGCCAAATGACACCAGCATCAAAAATGAATGTCATATTCGTAATCAGGGCATCGAATTACCCCAATAGACAAAGTTTCGACGAAAAATGAAACTTTGAGATTTTGGGGCAGTAATCGTGGGATAGTGCCCAATCCGGCAATAGGGGAAGGCTGAAAACGGTGAAAAACCAAAGTTTCAACTGGGGAAGTAATGCATATCATTCGATAGCATTTTTCACGGGGAAGCTAACGGGGCACATTTCAGGTCTGCGAGTTCATCTGGAAATGCAAAAAATCTGAACATTCCACAAGGGCATGACGAGGAGGCATGTTTGGGGCCACACCACGGAAGGAACGCTTCACTTGCGACCGAGTTTTCCACATAATTCCTACAGACAAGTGACCATAGTCTACGACAGTGAAGGAAATTCTTCGCTTCCTTTACAGCTTTCTACAAAACATTCCTCTAAAAATGGGACTTGTCACGTAATAGGGGGCAAAGGCATGACAAGGGGTGATGTTTGGGGTCACACCACGGAAGAAACGCTCACCTGCGACCAAGGTTTCCATATAATCCTTACAGACAAGTGACCGTAGTCTACGACAGTGAAGGAAATTGTTCGCTATCTTCACAGCTTTCTGCAAAACATCTCCTCTGAAAATGGAAAATGTCACATAATAGGCCCACTATGCCTGCTGAGAACTGTTCAAAGATTCCACTTGATATACAGAGGATGGGATATTGAGAGCAGAGGGAACACGTAAAGCCAGTAAGCGCTTGAAAACGAAATGAAGATCTAAGAATTCGGAAAATAACATTCATCTAATCTCACAATGTAGTGGATGAGATTGAGTACGTGGCGCATTCTGGGGTAAGTTTTGAGGCCCTTGTGTGTAGCGGTACCGCAGTAAGCGATCTATTACACACCACAATGCGAGCAGACTACGTTTTGAGATTAAATCGGTCCGGGGGGTTATTACGCATGGCGCATTCCGAAATCAAGCTTTCTGAAAATATTTTAGCACCATCTTGTAGCGCTTGAAGAGCTGAGTTCAACGGTGTTTTCCGTTTCTGGAATACTTCACTCTGACCCGACTTATAACGAATTCACGAAATTAACGAGGATTCGCGTTATTCGCGTGAATTTTCGATTTCAAACGGCGAGTACTGTAGTTGACCGGAGCACGGCTTACATTTCACCGGCGTGAGCAAAAGGAACACTGTCTGGCCGAGTAGGAAGTTTCCATTCATTAAGAAAACATGCGCAAAAATGGAGAAATAAGGAAAAAAAGCAGAAGGAAGACTCGACTCGCACACATGCACACAATTGAACCTCTTCAAACATGCACACTAGAAGGAATGCGCACAAACAAACTAAGAATATCCATGAAAATGATCAAAGTTCAAGCAAAAAGTGTACCTGCGCAGCTATATTGCATTTACAGCGAAAAAAGCTTGAAAATACAATAAACAAGTGTAATCAATAACTCATCTAATCATACATTAGGCTCATCAGTGGAGAAAATTTACTTTACACATTGACACACACTCACACACAAGGAACGACAAATATACATGGAAATGTGAAACACATCGAGAAAGAAATATACCTGGCCTGTTGCAATGCATTTACAGAGATGAAAACTTGAAAATGCACAAAACATCAAGATTAGAAACTCACTTTGTTGAGTGAGAGTGGAAAAACCCATACATTCAGACAGAACATGCACCAAATACATGTGAAGACCTGAAACGAAATAAAAGCACGGTGCATTCTCACTCTCGCATTCGCTCACGGCAATCTATCATCATGGATCAATCATACAACTCAATCAAAACATTTTTAAATGCACAAAAACACGCACACACATACACATTCTCAAAAAATACAGAAGAAAGACTCACCTTAGAGCGCTGTAGTGTTGTTCAATTCACACAATCTGAAATACATGTAGTAAAGCGTGCAAAAGGTGAAGAAAAAGAAGGGAGAAGAGAAAGTGAACGACCTAAAAAAGACTATTGGAGAACAATCATAAAGAAGCGAACCAAATGAACGGTTGCATGGAAATCTCCGGAATTGCTTGGTGTTGTTGTTGCTCGTTGGGTTCGAGAAATGGGGCTCATCAGTGTGGTCTCTTGTGAGAAACTTACCGCACCTTCACCCATAACACTTATTCACACATACTCTCACACATACACACATTTAAACATTCACACTTACATAAAACACACATCAAATTGCATATTCAAATAAAAAAGAACACACACATATAAAAAATGAGAACGAAGAAAAGAAAAAGAGCTAGATCCTCACACATAACCACACTTAAACTCCCACACTTCCACACAAAATCACACATTCAATGAAAAAACATGCACAGAAATAAAAAAATTGTGGATATTATACGCATTAGAAGGAAAAATACACGTAGAATGTGAAAAGGAAGGAGAAGAACAGCATACCTGTACAATTACACTGAGTTTTCTCCGAAAAAATTCTGAAAGTGCAAAAAACACATGAAGTTAGAAACTCACCTGATCAAGTGCGGCCGAAAAAAACTCATACATTCAAATTGAACATGCAACAAATGCATACGAAAACCTGAAAACAATCGAAAGCACGGCGTCTTTACACACATACACTCACTCACAAAAACTCAACATCACAAACCTACTACAAGACCAAACTAAACCGCACACAAAAGTGAATAACTGTGCACGAAACGAAAAATGCACGTAAAAATTTAGAAAGCGACGGAAAAGAAACGTACCTGAACACTTATATTGCGCCTTCACAAGAACAACCCTGAAAGCGTGCAAAAGAAATGCAATAAAAGCTCAAAATATGCAAGAAAATGTGAAGAGCGAAAATAAAAAACATACCTGTGCAGTTATATTGCGTTTTCATAGAAGGAAACATGAAAGCACACAAAGTTCATGAAATTAAAACTCACCGGATTCAGCGTAAGCAGAGAAACCCTGCATTTCAACTTGACATGCACCAAATACATGCGAAAAGGTGAATAGAAACGAAAGCATGGCGCATTCGCACACTCACATTCGCTCACAGCCATCTATCATCAAAAAGCAATCATACAACGAAAACAAAACATTTTTATACACGCAAAAACACTCATACATTCAAACTCATTCAAACAAGTAAATAAAAGAATCCAAGTGAAAAATTTTACTTGGCATAATAGGAGCAACTCGAATGAAAGCCGACAAGTGAGTTGGAAAGGGCTAGAATCTTCCCAGTTCTGCCACTATCCAACCCCTCATCGGCAGAACACAGAGTGCCTGGAAAATACATCAACAAGAATCATAACATGCATAATCAAACACACAATACAACAAACAAAGAAAAACAACTCACCGCATCTCTTCCCAATTGGTTTCCAGGCGAACAGTTTCAAATTTTCAAAAAATTCCATGAAAATGGCGCTATTGATTGATTGTGGCGTTGTTCGTGGTGTCATGTGTGCATACTGCACACATTACACCATCTTACGTCAAAATTGCTATCTACCATACGCTGTGGAAAGGGTGTATGTCGTTTGGCGCGGCCCCTCGCAGCAACTTTGCCATCGGGACGCATGGACCGTAATTGCCACACTCGCTCCTCCCATGTCTTGGCCAAACAACTCGTCCACATCAGCTAACCGCTAGATTTACGTAAATGGCCGATCTACAGTGGAGCGCGCCAGAACAGCGTTCCCTCACTTTCCCAATCTCAATTCTTCTTCCGGCTTATTTCCTACGCTGACATCGCTTTGCACACTTCATCTGTTAGAATACTGTAAGGTTACTTCGAGGTGATTGTATCACGATCATTTTGGAGTTGTGATACAATGTACTTCCCAGCAACTTGCAGTTCATAAAACGATTTCCTTCGGTCTTTTATGTTAAGAAAACAGTTTATACGAGTTCCATTGTAGTTTTATGGCTAGTGGTCTTTTTCCGGATACACTTGCTCTTTTTGAATGTGTGACATGAGCAGAGAAGTCTCTTGCTTTCGCGCTATGTGATGAATACGTGGAAAGCATTCATCATGATGGAAACACAAGCTCCAGGCGATCACTGAGAAAGGGTTAATTGTGCTGAGCATTTTGCTATTTTTCGTATCCTGTCCTTTTATGGTGTGAGGTTGAATTTATACGTCCGACTATGAGCTCAAAAGAAAGTGGAGATGTCCTCAACGCGCTGTTTCAGTCACATAGAAATCAACACTGCACTAGTCCGAGGTTCTGTTGCCATCGTGAGTTCAGTAAGTGACGCTGACACTGAATTGGTGAACTATAAAGATTAGGTATCCTCCCCACTGGAATAGATCCCACAAGTCTTCGGGCTACAGCTGATTCCGTGATCTGATGTGGACTCTCCGGTAAAATTTACCTGTGATTGTCATCCGTAATGAGTATGACTTTGCGTCCATTGCGGCCCTGTTTCATTGGATGCTCCCTTCCATTTGGATACGGAAATTGATGTTTTCCAAGCCAGTGATTTACTTCTAGTTTGCCAACGGCATGTCTCATCCCAATCTCGTTGTATTTGGATCTCTCATGGGCATATTGGATGCAACATCGCACGTCTCATAGTCCCCTCTAGCAATAATTACTGAGAAATGTCATTCTGTTGAACTGGGCATAGCAACTCGTTAAAAGGAAAACTCAAAGAGGGCTGAATACGAGGGAATAGTACGGAATCTCTTATACGATACCATTCAATTTAAATGATGATAAAGTGCACGTTGGAGGAAAAATCACCAGTTCGAAAATTTGGACTTCAGAATTCTGCTGAATAGGGATAGCTAATGAAAAGGGTTCGCAAGCGGTGGCGATAACAAAAAGGACGAGGAGATCAAAATGCAGTGCAAAGATTTCAAGTTGGCTGGTGAGCCCTACGCTATTTATTTAGATTTGGACGATTCGTTCAACAAAAAGCAATACAAGGCGGTGGAATTGAAATTCATTATGAATAGGGGTCGAGGCAAGAATTTCAAAACAGCTTTTTAATGTAATCAACGACAATAGATTTTCCCACAAACTGTCCTCTTGACAAGGTAGATTCACCTCATCATCTTGAGCATTCTCATTATGTACTGCAAGTTGCTGTGAAGTGGAATGTATCACAGCTCCAAATGATCGTGGCACAATCACTTCGAAGTAACTCTGCAGTTGGTTCGAATTGAACGTGCAGAACGAAAAGAAGTCGAAGGAAGAATCGAGATTGGTCGCGCTCCACTGTAGATCGGCCAATTATGTAAATCTAGCGGTTAGCTGATGTGGACGAGTTGTTTGGCCAAGGCATGGGAGGAGCGACGGTGGCAATTACGGTCCATGCGTCCCGATGGCAAAGTTGCTGCGAAGGGCCGCGCCAAACGACCGCCTCCCCTGTGGAAAGGCAGAACGCATCTCAGTGCTAAAGTGTGCTGGATTCCAGCACAATGTGCTGGAATCCAGCACCATCTGCCTTATCCATTGGGAAAGGCAGAATGGGTGCATTTTGGGTGTAAAACGTTTTTTTTTTTATTAGAAGAAGAGAAAAGCAGTTGGAATCGGGCCCACGGGGGTTTTCGACCATGCTGAATTCAACGGTGCTGGTCATTTCCATGATGTTCACTGCCAGCGACATCTCACCCCTCTGTAGATGCCCATCTCCATCCAAAATCCACCCCACCGCGCCGGCTCTTCGCGCTTAGCAAGCTTCATACGCCACGCCACTTGCCAAACGGGGGGCCGTGCCGGCGAGCGTTCATATGAGCACACTGCGTCCGCCTTTTTCCCCAGTCAATTACCTTCATACTGCATGGATCAAACTCAAATTTTGAACCAAACCGTTTCACTAATCCCTCAATCCTACGCACACTATTACAGTATCTCTGCTTTTTTTCCTACCCTCCAAACGCTTAGTCATAATGTGTCTGTCCTATGAAACTACACATTGTTGATGGCCACTTTCAAAGTCATATCACAAAACACACTGGAATAATAATAATTTATTAATCCATACATATGTTCTATATAGAAATCCTTTCTCGCACCACTGCCGATGCTTTTTAGTGCTCTTGTTCGTGTTCTGCCAACGAATCGCAGGTGTTATGGAATCCCTCCTCAACAACAACATCATAAACCGCCGTCTTAGATGCTCGCTTTCGACAGGTCCACATTGCTTTCTGAACACAGTGACATTACAATACCCACTATACAACACTGTAAATTATCACAAACTCACCAAAAACCCATATATCAACCACATAAAAAACAGTCCAGTTGCTGTTCTCACAAAGATGATGATCTCCGCCAGCATCACCATCTCCTCATCCTCCGCATTCGCAGCAGCAATAAAAGAGGCGGGTAGGCGCATTTAAAAAATGCACATCAACCATAGAAAGACATGTGGCACCGAAGGGAATCGAACATAAGGAATAGCAAGAAAAGCTTGAAACAGTGAGCGATTGAAGTGAGAATTGAAGCAGACTGAATAGATTACAATCAATCGAACAATAAAACAGAGACGTAAGAGAAACTGTAGCAATCTGCAAACACGAGTGACGATGGAATGGAAAGCTAATGGGCGTGCGATGAACTGTACTGCAAGTCTATATGCGTCGCGAGTCTTACGACTAACCCCAGGTACTACAAGGCGCGACCCCAGACTGGCGACATCCCAAACGACTCAAATCAAAGATCAAACACTACCAATACGCAGATTAGACTCACCTGTGATTCTTTATTACAAGTAGAAGCCTGAAACAAACAAACTTAACACAAAACAAACAAAAATTTTCGCAAAATGCGGAATTACGAAAAGGTTGTTTCGCCCTCTCAACCACAGACAGCCGAAAAGCAAAGTAATGGGCTCATCAGTTGGTCTATTAAAGCAATATTATAGAATATAAACATATTCACACTTACTCACACACACACATACACACACTTAAACACTCTCTCTGAAACATATAATAGCATATCAAATTGAGAAGCACAAAAAAATTCATTCTAACACACATACACACACTTAAAACACCCTTACTGAAACATATAATAGCATATACTAATCAGAAACCACAAAAAATGAAAAGCGAACATGCGAGAAGGAAAAATATCCGTATTTCATACACACGCACACATTCTCACATTATAATAAAACGCAAAACAACACACACGATAAGCAAACGTGGACATAAATGAAGAATCGCACAAGAAAAAATGAAGAACACATGTAAAAATGCGAAAAGACACAAATAGTAAGCACACCTGGGCCATGACAATGCATTCACATCGAAGTAAACCTGAAATTAAACAAAACGCATGCAATTAGAGACTCGTCTGTTGAAAAACTATGCATTTCAACTAAAAGTGCATCAAATACATGTAAAAATCCGAGGCGGAACGAAAGCATGGCGCATTCTCACACTCACACTCGCTCAAAGCCATCCAACACCGTAAAGCAGTACAATGAAACAGCATACTAATACACACAAAAACAGTCACTCGTACATACACTCTCACTTAAACAAACATAAAAGAGAATCCAACGAAGCAGTTCCTTACATAATACAACTCGATGAAAGCCGACAAGTGAGTTGAAAAGGGCTAGAATCTTCCAAGTCTTATCCAACCCCCCATCGGCAGAACATCAAGTGCTCGCACGAATATATCGAATAACAACAATAAAATACACAAACAATGAAACAATACAACGAAAAAGAAAAAAAAAACTCACCGCACAGTTTTCCAGAGCCGATTTTTGGGCGAATACTTTGAAAATTTGGCTGCGGCGCCCACTTGCGGGCGAGCAACCGATTTGCCGCGGAGCAACCAAACATCTGGACGAAAGAATGAATAGCAATCACTATTAAATATAAACAAATCAACATTTACTCGCACTATCAGTGCGTATAAGTATTGATTAATTTAGAATAGGCCCTTTGTAGCACTCTAATCAATGCACTAGCGCGCATCTAAACGCCATTACAACGC